GCTAAAATGATACACACTACAACCATCTTTTAAGTGCCTACTTCAACATTTTTTTATTATTATTATACTCCAGAGCTTATACTTCAAAAGGAACATGGGTTTCTATTGGACCTCTTCCTACAGATTGTTAACTGACTTTGACTCCACAGATACCTTCTTCCCTAACTTACAGCTATCATGGCTCACTGGGAAAGAGCTGAACATCATTTTGGGGGCCTTTTTTAGCACTGAGAACACTCCAGGGAGAAGGAACACGCCTTACTCTTTGCCTGAATGTGTTAATAAAAGAGTGTCTGACTTTGAAAAAGCTCGGAGGAAGAAGACAGCTTTTTCCCAAACCACCAGAGATTTAAGCATCATGTGAATTCAGGCATTCAGAGTTTGAACACATTTAAGCAATAGAAGCTAAAGAGTGGTATGTATTAGGAAAATGTACCTGTTCGCTGCCTCCCCCAAAAACAAGAAGCAATGAAGAGCAGTCAGCCTGGCTTTAGTACCAGTACCAGTACATATGGGACAGGCAATGCCCTGTTCCCTCCATCTTCTCAGATCATCTTTTGGTCAGACAGTCTTATTTCACCCATTGCAGTATCTAACCTACCTTGATCGTGATCCGTGGGATATCAGCGGGCGAGGGGAAGACAGGGACTGACACGCATGCCGCACTGGAAGCTGGCTTGATGCTGTGGCAATGAGTGCTGGGCAGGCACCAGCTGCCAGGGGGAAGAAGAACCTCTCTGCTGAAAAATGTAGAAATGCAAGTGGAAACTAAAGACAAACAACCCAGAAGACTGAATTTTACTCACAAGCCTGGGATTTAGCTGGTCAAAACCTGCATGGAAAGGGGACTCTTCCTCTAGCCACATAAACTGTCTGCACCTGATTAACACCACTCACATGTGGAATCCCTCCATGAGCAGCTAGTTACCCAAGTAAATAAAGTCAGACTTTGGTTTATCTTGATTTTATCTGCAGCACTACAGATTTATCTTCTTTCCATCCAGCACTCGCTGTGTTAACTCAGCAGTTCAGGCAAGCAAGCTGCTCTGTCTCTCCTTTTTCTCTCTCACCGCATTTTATTTGGTTCTAAAATGAAAAGGAGGGAGAGCCCGGGAGGTTAAAGGAAAGTCTGTAGAGGATTCCTCTTTCCCAGATTAGGATTTAATTGTATTTCTAGTGAGTCCCTTCTGGTTGCGCTTGGTCTTTCAGCTGAATGTTTCATCAATATGATTAGGATCACATCCCTCAGTCTAGTCTATTTACACAATCTGTTGTGACAGCTCAGAGTATAGTACTCCCTAAAGGAAATATTAGATACCACCCTATCATTTTATTCAAATCATATTTTGCACTCCACACTATCAGCCTAATGTCATTCTCTCCTGGATTATATAGTTGCAATACCCAGCAAGCACTAAAATCCTTCCAATAAGGATCAGATTAATATTTATATTAGCCATCCTAGTATTATTATTACCAAGGGGGCCATGGATGCTTCCGAGGGGGAAAAGAAGGGAATGTACAGGCAAAAACATTTAAAAGGAGGGTGCGGGGAGGAATAAATGTGGGGAGCAAACCCTGCCTGCCTCGAACATGTGTGTGGATGGCAGCT